ACTATTAATAAACTAAAATTTTTCATCACAGGCGTTAGTCCCCAGGAGATAAAAAAGTTATTCCACAGCGATCACATGGATATCATTGATATTTTCACGACTGCGCTGTGAAAATCAATGATATCCATTGATCCCCGTGGAATAACTAATACATATTCATGTCATAGAGAAACGGTCTATAATACTTTGAATCTGGGTACTAGATAGGCTTGAAATAGCATTGGCACTACATGATTTCACCCACTTGATCTTGTTTATTCCTATCCTCACAAACACCTTGTATATATTTCTTACTTTCTGGATTTTCTTATACAAATTTGCTTTTGTAATTCCTGAAATATGTTGAAAACTTCACAGTATGCTTGACTCCTAGCTGTTAGATTGATAACTGATGTATCTTGAGATCTAATATCCTGATCCTATTTTCAAATCCTTCAGCATATTTATACCAATACAAAATTTCATCTTGATTTGCCTTTGTAACACATAATCCTGCACGAGTTGCCTTTTAATATAATTGGATTAAGCTTTGTGATACAAATCCATCAGCATCTTCCCCTTATCAACATTTTCAGCTTTCTCTCCCTTAGCAGACATAGATAATTCTTGCAACAGAGCCTAGAATTTTTCTTGTTCACGAGTAATCCTTGAAGAGTTCCGTCTTTTTGATGAATTTCTTTTTGATTAAGATTCACTTTCTTGCATATTGATATTATCCCCGCTATTTACATTAGATTGATTCTCTAAGTTATCCTGTGTATTAATTATGCAGATTTTATCATTAGAATTAGTTTGATTCTTCAGAATTTTAGAGATATATAAAAGACGAAAGTGAGAACTGAATATATGTAAGAATGACCAAAAGCATTATATATAGATTTTGCTCTGTTTACCTATTATTAATAGAATTAGACTGGTTATTATCATCATCCTCAATTATGATTGAACTTGTCACCTGATCCTGTATAGTGACTTGTTTTGACTGATTCTCTTGTCTACCATGAGAACCATCTTCTACTAATTCTAGCAAAATCATGAACTTCTCATTACTCTGTCTAGTATCAGTTTGTTTTTTCTGAAAATAATATTTTTTAGAAGTGAGAACTGCCTCTTCTCTAGTTAGCTCAATAATTAAATTACATAAAGGGTATATAAGAGATGGTTCAGTTTCTTTTTATATAATATACTTTTTAAGACATTGGAAGTGGAAAAGGTGTTCACAATCTAATACAACAAACAATTGAAATCAAAATTTAGGATTATTCTTTGATAAATACTGCAAGAATTAAGTTTCAGAATTCTGGTAAAAATAGTTAAAATTTCTTGATTTTGAAGATAATTTAATGCAAATACTTCAAGTTGGAAAGGCTTAAAAGTATCTGTTTGAATTTCAGAAGTACTGGTTAAAGGTTTACTGGCTATAGTGACATTTGAAGATTCACTAGCCATAGTGATAAATTTTAAAGAGAATGAAGAGCAAAGTGTGAAGAAATTTCTATCTTGTTCACTCCTATTTATATTACTTGGATCATTATATTTAAAAAAATCTAAGCCTAAGCAGGTAATATAAGTTTGAAATTACTTTAATCATAACATACTTATCTTATTTTCTATACATTAAAGATCTGCCATGATCATTGCAAAACATAAATGTCCTTAGATTTTCACTGGCAATCTTATTGTATCAATAATTAGCTGATTCTGAATTACAAAATTACTCTATATTAGAATGCATTAGCTTAACAATCAAAAAAATAGTATACATGCTTTAGCACCTTTAAATAAATTTATTACCACTGGTTAAGAGATCAGATGCAGTATTTATTTTATAATACATTCTATAAATATAAGGTTAAAGTACATAGCCAGGATGTATGATCACATTTTTCATGATACTTATGATATATATAATAAGTTTTTATTACTATGTTCTTCAACTGCTTCTCTTCTAGTTTTGCAACTCTTTTCTAAACTCAGTATTTCTTGTTTCAAGCTCAGCTTTCTCAACTCAAGCCCAGTTATCTTAGCTATAAGTCTAGCATTTTCTTCTTTAAATAAATCAAACTCAGATTCTATAATACTTTTTATATAAGAGAAAAAATAATGTGAGATATATATATGCAAATTTTAAGTCACATAACCTCTATTCTTTGATAAAAATTTCTCTGATATTTTTTACATATTTCAGATAATCATGCCTTATTACTGTAAAGAAGTATATTGATGATGTATTTACTTACTGTATATAATATATACTTGGTTAAGCTATCCATGAGATTCAAAAAAAAAAAATGAAGTAATATATAAATATTTTTATTCTATAAGCTAGAGACGCTATACATAATTTTCTTAGATGATTACTAGAGAGATAATAGGACTCATCATTAGGGAAGTTTTTCTTTTATATCTTCTATCATGATAATAATAACCTCTATCACATTCATCATATTCATTATATCTACTGTATTCATTATATCTATTATATCTATCATCATTCGAATCGTCTGACATCTCTTTTTCAGAATTATTAGAATTAAAGTCATTATTATATGAATTAGAGTCACCATCATGCGTATTCATCTTATCAAAATATATATCATTATCTGAAGTAATAGTATTCATTTTAGTGAAATTTGTCTTATTTAAAAATATATCTTCATCAAATTACGACTCTTTCTTAAAATTATCTGAAAAATTGCTATTATAGCATTTCGCAGAGACATGTGTTAAAGGAATAGGTGCAGTTAGAATGCTTATCTCAGCTAGTTTAGATGTAATTGATATATTTACTTTAGGCAAGATTTTTTGCTAGTCTTAGGATTTTTGGTCACATAATTTTAATAGAGGACTTTAGCTGAAATTTCAGGTGTTAGAAAATCGTCTTCTTCAAAAAAATTATCTATGATCTCTTAGATTTGATCATTAACTAACTCTGAAATGAAATTAGCACTATATATACTAATATACTTAATTTTATCTGTATATATTTTCTTAAATATTCTAATAAGCTTTATAGATCTTTGAGTCCTTCTAGTTAAAGAGCTACAGGAGATTTTAGAAACTGCATACCAATTTCTTTTAATCTCTTCTCATAAATGGTGGTAAGATGTTCTAACATCTCATTATAAATTATACTTTTTGCTTTTTTCTCCCTAATTCTGCTATTGCTATTTTTCATAATTTTATTATATTGATATATAAATTCTTTCCTAAAATTAATCCAGTATAAGGTTTCTTTCTCATTGGCTTTCTTAATATAATATCTAGCATCTGATGTTTTATCAAATAGGTATGCTAAATTAAGCAGAGATGAAAAGCATTTTGAGCAATAAGCTGTCGCTAAAATTTCAGTCTCATGTGAAGATGAATCAGAGAAAATTGGCTCTTGATATTTTATATCATTCTGAATATTATCAATTATCACTTGAGCAATTTTCTCAACATCTTTTTTCTTATAGCTATTCTGATAAAATTGTTTTACAACTTTTTATTCTAAAGATATCATGCTTTTAGTATGAAATTTCTTTTTCTGATTTCTCTGTCTAATCTCATTACTAATCTTTTTCTTATGCATTTCATTCAAGAAAGCATCTGTTTCCTTATCTTTCAAAAATGTCTGATCATATTGGTCCATAATAAGTATATTAACAGCTAGTTTTGATAATCCTTCTAGTATTAGTTCTTTAGGTAATAAAATATTTATTTTTATAAATAACTGATTTGCAAGCGAATTAAAGTTAGATGAACTATTATTAGAAGAATTGGTTACCTTAATAACATTATTATTTAGTGTCTACTTTTATTTTACTTTTGTGATTCTATCTTTAAGCTTAGCATTCTCTTTAATATAATTTTTCTCTAACTTCATAATTGTAACCCTGAATTTGATATTTTCAGCATCATGTCTCATTCTCTTTTCTTTAATCATTCTTAGAGTCTTGGTAATCCTATATTTAAGTTCAGCTCTCTCAGCCTCAAAGTTAGCGAACTACATTCTAAGATCAGTATTCTCTTTTCTAAGCTTTGCATTTTCCTTCTTAAGTTCTGTAATTTTAACATTCTCAGCCTCAAGCTCAATGATATGCTGTTTCAATAATTTAAGTTTGGATAACATGATGTATATATACAACTAATATACTATATATAACTATTCAAAATAAAAATATATTACATGTTTTTGGACAATAGGCTATCGTTGAAATTTACCAAGAAAATTCTCTTGATTTAAGATCTTCAGAATGAAAGCTTTTATTATTTCCTATGTCTTAATTGCATAAAATACTTTATTAAAATAGTTAGATTATCTTTTGAAGAAACATAGTTTCAAGAAAATATTATTATATGCAAAAAATAAATATAAATATTGGAACATTGATCGTGATATATCATATTAAATTTTTCAATGTTAGCCCTTTTACTAGTTAGAGAACTATTAACACTACCCTATCTTTCAGTAGCCTAATAATTATATCTATTACCCTTTTCACATTACTTTGAAGTAAATCAGGATTTTCTTTAATTGCTGATTTTATAAGAATAATTTGGTATAGAAATACTATCTGAAGTATATATGATAAAATATCACTTTGTGTCTGTAGTCAAGATACTATAAATATAGTCAAAATAGTCATTCTTAAATGCTTAATCTGCAGTCTGTTTCTTTTTATTTGTCTGAAATATACTCTCAAGCTGTACTATATTCTAAGAGATATAATACATCACCTTTTTAGTCTTCTTATTTTAAAGCTAATAGACTGAGAAGACAAATACTCTTACTTGAGTATATCTAATTTTAATATTACATGATTTCCCTTCAGTAATGCAAAAAAAATCTTTTAGACTTTTGATTGCGTAATCTACTTGGCCTGTCGCATCTTTACTAGAAATATCTTTTTGTAAAACTATGAATATATCTTGAGAGGTAAGTTTTTTGGTAATGGCAATTGATGCATATAATATAACTAAAATAAATTCACAGCATATTGTTTTATTAGCATCAATTATGGTTTTCATGATTAAAAGTTTTAAGATAATATTCTTCATACAGTGTTTGAATGTCTTATCATTATCACTAATCTCCTTGAAAACTACAGAGAAAAATAAAGTTAATATAGCTATCTAATCAGTTTTGAAAATTAATTAGTTACTTATCAGAAGTAAATTGCTTAATATTTGTAATTTCTTCTCTATTGATCTTATTTTTACATAACATTTCTTTTAAGTCAACGAGAATTTTAAACAAGAAATAATTTCATAATTTTTAACTAAAGCTTTTGATAAATTTTGCAAATGTTGTTGCTAATCCTAATGCTAATCCAATACTGTAAAATTTTCTTCTATTAACTTAAGGAAAGCAAGATCAGAAATTTTCTCTTTATGAAGTATTTTAATATTATCTTATCAAGTTTTTAGTTTTTCCTTTCTAAATAATTAATAAGCTCCTTTGTATTAAAGTCTTTAATCATGTCTGATATTATTTTAATGAAAATTTCTTCTGTTATTAAGGCAAAAAAGTGGGTAAAGAAGCTTATGAAAACATAATATTTATATATATGTATATTTGTACTTGTAAAAAAATTTATACACCTGACTGCAGTTACAAGTAAAGCTAGTTTATAGATATAAAAGTATTTTTAGTTTTTGTCACTCAAGGAGAAATGATAGATTTTTTTATATTGATTCATAATACTTTTTGCCTAATATAAGGTATGAAAGATCTGTTAAAGTTCAGTTAAAGTCCTAAGACCTATAGGTCCTAATATGTGAACAGACTGACTTAGTCTTTATAAAAGTCCTGTAACTTATATAGGACTGTAATCAAAACTGAGTCTAGACTGTTAAATAATATTTATTTTAATATATAGTATTTATTTTAATATTCGAAGGTATTATACTTTAAGATTAGAAGTTATTAGAATCTTCTAATTTTTTTAATTTTAAGTTATTTAATATGGTGGCTGTCACCTATAAACCTTACAAAAATCATATGACTTTAAAAATTTATAAATTAAAAATAAAACAATGATTTGA